AACATGTTTTCTTAAACTGGAATTTGAAAATTGCTGAGGGTAGTCTCAGGGACTCATGAATTCTATTATTATTTTTAATTTTTTTTCATTTAGATAAACATTTTAAAATAGCTTTATCTATTTAACATTCCAATAAGTACTCAACTTAAACTTGGAATAACTCAAGACAAAGAGGGTACCGCTTATTAAACTTTAAAAATCATAGTAATAAACAGCTCCAATTGCTTTATGCAAAGAAAATCTGATTAAAACCTAAAAATTCAAAAGTCAAGACCTTGTTTAAAAAAAAAAAAAAAAACTACACTGTTGTTTTCATCAAAAACCCCAGTAGGTGATGGGAAAACTCTTAGTACGAAAGGATAAAGTGCTAAACGCACTACCAAACTTTTTGAAAATTTTATTGGGCATAGCTTCTTATGGAGAAAAAAAAAACCAGAATAAATAAAAAGAGATGAATGAATGAAAGAGATTCCATATGATGAAGTATTATTCAGAAATAAAAAGGAATTAAGTAATGGTACCTGCTACAGCATGGATAAACCTCAAAAACATCATGTAAAGTGAAAGGGACAGACAAAATCACACAGCATATGATCCCATTCATGTGACATATGAATAACAGAAATCCACAGATAGAAAGTATAGTAGTGGCTGCCTGGGATGGGAGGGAGGTAAGGAAGAGGTGCCTACTAATGGATACAGGTTTTTTTCTTTTGGGTGATGAAAATGTTACCAAATTAGATCATAGTACTCATTTGTGTAGTTCTAAAAATAAACAGGATGCCCTTTATGGTATGTAAATCATGTTTCAATGAAGTGTTTTTAAAATCATGACTGCTGGCTTGGGGATGCAACTCAGCACTTGTCTAGCATATGAGCCCCTGAGTTTAATCCCCAGCACCACACACATCCACACACACACACACACACACACACACAGAAAAATGACAGCCATCCTGGCCCCACTTTTAACACAAAACGATGGAAAGTTATGCTTTTTAAGTGTGGAATGATCTAAAAAATTAAAAAGACAAGCCAACTGTCCAATCCCCTAGTTTAATACTCTATAGACAACTATACTGCAAGCAGAGTTTCCTAAGATACTGCTAAAATGACAACTGCCAGAATGTTCTTATTAAACTACTTTTTGAAGAAGTTCAAGAATACAGTCCTAGGGGCTGGGGCTGGGGATGGGGCTCAGCAGTAGAGTGCTCTACTTGGCCCATGTGAGGCCCTGGGTTTGATCCTCAACACCACATATGAATAAATAAATAAATAAAATAAAGGTATGTGTCAACTACAATTAAAAAATATTTTTTAAAAAATACAATCCTATAAAGATAAAATATAACTGTACATGTTTTCTCAAAAAAAACCTTATAGGAACTCTTATTACTGGATAAATAAATAAAGGTATGTGTCAACTACAATTAAAAAATATTTTTTAAAAAATACAATCCTATAAAGATAAAATATAACTGTACATGTTTTCTCAAAAAAAAAAATCCTTATAGGAACTCTTATTACTGGATTTCAATCTATTTCCTTCTTTTGTGTCTTGAAAATTAAATGTATCTGGATGTGGATATATATATATCTGTCCTGTTTTTGAACATCAGACCACAAATGCACTATGGAGGCAAAACATTAGTTTTTGGTTTAATGTGATAACCACCTACCACACTTTGCTGCTTAGATTTCTAAGTATTTCCTATCTTAGAACATTATTATTAATTCAAGCTTTTGCTATATTGATTGAATACACATTTCTGGACTACCAGCTTCACCTCACACGAAAAGGAAATAAATTGAGAATGTAGTTCAGTGGTAGAGTGCTTGCCTAGTATGCATAAAAAAGAGAAACTCTAAGCTGAGAAAAACAACATTCTTGTCCAAAACACCACTAATAACAGAAAAGCATGGGGGAAAGAAATTCCTAGAATTTTATGCAATTTATATGAAATAGAATAAGCTCATCTTTTTAAAAAAATACCTTTATTTTTATTTATTTTTATGTGGTGCTGGGGAACGAACCCAGGGCCTCACACATGCAAGGCAAGCACTCTACCACTGAGCCCAATAATAAACTCATCTTTACTAGTATGACCATGCAATTTAGTTCTACCCAAAACAATACTTGGTGTTTCCCTATAAAGAATAATTAACATAAGTAAGTTGGGCTTTTTTGTAACAAAATGAGGAAGAAAATCAGGATGTGGTCAGGTGGTCAGCAAGGAAGTGGCAACATCATATTTGCATTTTATGATCCTAAGCAACCAGCTCATTCTCCTTGCAGTTTATCACTGAAGTCTGCCTACTCCTCTCCCCACTTCTCTCCAGCAGGAGAAACAAACATGATCCATCATAAGGCTGAATGAGCCTTCCTTTCCTCTAAAAGCTGAATTTTATAAGAAAATGGCAGCATTTAATTGAATTAACTGCTGATGTAATCATGAAAATCCAATTGAAATAAATTTGAATAAACTGTAGAGGCAAATGTCCCCTCTGTCCCTCATGATTTCCTCTTATTATTTCCTCCAAGAATTATTTCCTAGTTAATCCTATACTACCAGTTTACTTTTTGTTCTACAATTTCTTATAATTCGAGCACTCTTTATTTGCATAATGGTTTTCTGAAGGTGCTAAGTATGAAGAGTCTGTTTCCTCAACAAAATTAGAAACTACTTAATAAAATCTGTATATTCTAATAATTTCATATAAAATGACATACACAAGAGCAGCCTCCAATATCTAAACAGTGAATTTACTCTCTAAAGACATGAAACAAGTTCCAGAGATAATGACTCATTCACAAAGTAACTCAGATGTACCTTTTTTTTTAATATTTATTTTTCAGTTGTAAAATAGCTTTATTTTATTTATTTATTTTTATGTGGCACTGAGGATGGAACCCACAGCCTCACACATGCTTGGTGATTACCCTGCCACTGAGCCACAACTCCAGCCCCTCAGATGTATCTTTACTGTTTCATTCACTCATCACACTGAGCACCAGCTGTGTAAGCCCACAGTCACTCTCCCGCTCAAAAACTGCCCTCAACTCCTCTCTGCCTACCAGCTTCCTCATTTGACATTCAAAACAATTTCTCATATATCCGAATTCCAAGTTTTCCCAAATATTACTCATGTCTTTGCCTACACTATAAACAAGATATTAGCCACCATCCACAACCACCATCAGTTCAGTCTAGTAGATTAGCCTGTGAACAAGTAAATGAAACACTGTCGAACACAGTAAGTGTACAGGAAGCCATAACTGAAGGATGGATAAACACACTGTGGATGCAAAAATTCTAGGTGGATGCACTCATAAACAGAATAGATGAAGAATCAAATTTAAAAATGTGTTTGAGTTTTCAATGATGGACTGAGTTCTGCATATAAAGCTCTGCTCACATTCAGCATTTTTTAAAAACCACTTTTTTTGGGCAGAGGGGGATATTGGAGATTGAACTCAGGGGCATTCAACTACTAAGCCATATCCCCAGCTCTATTTTGTATTTTATTTAGAGACAGGGTTTCACTGAGTTGCTTAGCACCTTGCCATTGCTGAGGCTGGCTTTGAACTCGAGATCCTCCTGTCTGAGCCCAGAAACCACTTTCCTTTATGAGTAAGGATGGCCAACTTGTGGCATTATGGCTGGGAAAGAAGTGCAAAATGGTTGAGAGGAGCTAAGATGTCTGATCGGGAGTGCTCTTAGGGGCCAGAATTCTCAAACCACACATATAATGGTTGATTTTGTCTTGGTAGCTGACAAGGCCCTCTCCTCTCCTCTCCTCTCATTCTCGCTATGCTGCCTAGGCTGGCCTGGAACTCCTAAGCTTAAGCAATCGAATCGGCCGGCCTCAGCCTCTCAAGTAGCTGGGATCACAAGCAGGCGCCCCGATACCCAGCTCTTCCCATATTTTCTTGATGCACTCTTTCTCTTCCCCTACTGGTTCCTCTGACAGTGGTGACCCCAACCGTCCTCTCTCAGATATCATTCCACAAAAGGAAGAGCTATAAAGGACAATAAATAAAACTAACATCTTTTTTTTTAAAAGAGAGAGAGAGAGAATTTTTTAATATTTATTTTTTATTTTTCAGTGGACACAACATCTTTATTTTATTTTTATGTGGTGTTGAGGATCAAACCCAGAGCCCCGCGCATGCCAGACGAGCACACTACCGCTTGAGTCACATCCCCAGTCCTAAAACTAACATCTTAAGCCCTTCTCTAATCTGGTACATTCCCCTGACTTCAGAGGACAATCTCTCTAGAATTCATATGACAAGAGAAAATAATTTTTTTTTAGTAGAATCAGGCATTTTTTTTTACCCTCATTCTATTTGTTGCAATAGGTATAAAGCACTAAAAACATAAGAGCATACATAGAAAATGCAAGTGAATGAGGTCTTCCTCCCAGAGACAAACATTACCATCTCTGTTTACCATGACTTTCACACACAAATGGCTCAGCCACATTGTTTCTGCATTTGTTTATTTGGGGAAAGAAGGTGGTCCAGGAACCAAAAAAAAAAAAAAATGATGTATAATGTGTCCAGGAGAAAACACACCAGAAGGACACAATCTTTCAGATAATTATAAACACAGCATGGGATAAATAGGAAGCATGAGCAGAGAGAGCATGGCTTTTGGCACTTCACATTCCTGTGGCCACAAACTAGCTGTGATACTAGGTATCTTCAGATGCCTGCTTAAATTGTGAATTTCAGCTTTCTAATCCATGAAAAAGGGATAGTGTTGCCAACTTCATTTCATTCTTAGAGTAATTAAACTAAAAACATGTCAAATGCTTTGATTTCTCTACCCCTCTAATCTTATTTCCAGCTTTCTTTGTAAAATGTTTTCACTTAACTGCATTTGGAATATTGATTTTATCACATATCCAAATTTCTAAGGAAAAAAAATTGTGTGAAAATACTAACATTTTTATAAAAGAATTCTATTTAAAGAATCAAAGACTCTAACAATTACCTTTTGTTCTTCTCTTTCTGTTGCATGATGACACTTTTCAATTCTCCAGTGCCTCAGGAAATCCCGAAGATATCCAAAGAGGGTAAGCACCCCATAGCCCACATATGTGAGCACGGCAACCAGCATGGGCGTTTCTTCAAAAGCTTCATTGAAGGGTCTTTTATATAGTCCTCCATTTTCTGTAACATGATGGATCTAAAAGGGAAGTTAAAAATGTTTACTTCAATCATGAGAAGAAAAAGATACCTTGAAAACTGTATAGTCCAATGAAACTCTAAGATCTAAGTAGGGTCTACTTGTTTTTAATAGAAATAATTTATAGGGCTGGGGTTGTATTTCAGTGGTAGAATGATTGCCTAGCAAGTGTGAGACACTGGGTTTGATCCTCAGCACCACATAAAAAATAAATAAATAAAGGTATTGTACCCATCTACAACTAAAATATATATAAAAAAAGAAATTTATAAATCATATGCACTTCACAAGAAGAGTTAAAAAATGTGAAAAGAACTAATAGCTAACACTAGATTTTTTTATAATTGGATTTTCTGAAAGATTCTAAAATGCTATTTCAGAAAACATAATTTTATTTGTTCTCATAAATAAAAGAGACAGTTTACTCTGAAAACACTGTTATTAGCTAACCAATGAAATGACCAAAAGTTCAAAAGTAAATTAGGTTTTCCAAACAAAAATATTTGCAGATGTTTTACTACCATATGTATTTAAGGCCACTCATATCATTCCAAATAATTATCAGCACTAAGCTACTGTGGAAACAACTGGTTCTCATGAACCTTTGTCAGTGATAACAGGAGTAAGATATACACAAAACTCAAGTGCTTAGGTAAGTGTGGACCAACACTGTAAGTAGAAGAAAGAAAGCCCCAGCTGCAGTGGCACGGCCAATTATTCCAGCTCCTTGGAACTTTAATCTTAATTTACAGCAGCTCGATTTAATAAAGATCGTCAATCAAAATTATTAAGAGCAAGTGGAGCATGGTCGCCCATGCCTATAATCCCAGCAACATGGGAAACTGAGACAGGAAGGTGGCCAGCCTCAGTAACTTATCAAGACCTGTACTCAAAATAAAAAATAAAAAGGACTGGGGATGCGGCTCAGTGATAAAGCACCTCTGGATTCAATCCCCAGTACCATAAGAAAAAAAAAAAAGGAGCAAGTTGTCAATTAAGTATTATACTAGTTTTGAGCAGACTCTAAGGAATAAAAGATCCTTTCTTGCCCTCTCAGGCTATACAAATTGATTTTCACATATTAATACATATTAAGACACTTGAGAATATAATATCCTAGTAATGTTAGTTTTGGAAAGCTGCCAAAATGCTTCCAAATTTAAGAGTTTGAAAAAAGACAAGAATTGTACTTAACAAAGGAAAAGCATTCAGATAGGCATGGCAGATGGAATTTGGAGGTGCTGATTTAATTTGTTGGTCTAAGTAAAAGAACTTCTGAGAACTATTTATAAAACTAAGTTAGGTATTCAGTAGTCTTTTCCCCCAAAGCCTGAAAGTTTGTATCAATATTTAATACTTAAACTTTCACGCAAGAATATACTTGTAACATGTTTAGAAAAGAAATGCTAGAAATGAACCCATATCTAAAGATAGAAAATCATTTAAGCTGGGTACAGTGGCATGTGTCTCTAGTCCCAGCTACTTGGGAGGCTGAGGCTTATCTGTATTATTAAAATGCCAGCAGAGTTACAGTGCTCCATCATCTCTAACCAATGTGCTGCCAACTTACATGTTGGGAATGCAGTGGGTGGATTTCTTTACAAGAAATCTGCCTTTATTTCAGATACACCCAGAACTTCAGGACTAATAAATTTCATACTGTAGGTTGGATTATCTAGGAAGCAATCAGTTAAACCATTATGCTTTCCGTTTTCTTATTTAAAGTGCTCTACCACTGACCCGCACCCCCAGTCCATTAGTTTGTTTTTAAATACTGTATCGTTCTATTGAAGTCTTACTTAAAATCAAGTGTTTTTAAAAGAACTAAGATTCAACTACAAAGTGACCAGGAGTGTGGCTTAACTGAAACACTAGCAAACCTGATCATGTAGTGAGTGCCAGAATGGACAGACCAGGTGATAGGCAAAGTCTCACAGGAGAAAAAGTCTTAGAAGTCAGGAAGAACAAAATTATTTGTTCTGTTATATTTTACCTCTCACAAGATTCAAAATAAGGGTCTCACCATCTTAAAATATATATTAACCCATGAGGGAAAGCACTAGGCCCATTTTGTACATTACTGCACCCATAGCATCCAGAAGAGTATTTATGGTTAACAAAGAGTTAACACTTGCTTAATAACACTTCCTGTTATTACTATTACAGAAAATGACATCTCATAGGAATGCAGTAAATATGTGTAAATGAAAATATGCACCATGCTCTTTGCTCTTTCAAAACAAGTACCCTGGCAAAGAAGGGACTAAGTTACAGTGATCAATTAATAGGAGGGCGTTTCTAGAACCCAGATCTGATGTGTTTTAGTCTCAAGCAGACTGTCAATGAAATCAGGCTGACTCTAAAAAAGACATATGCTACAAACTCTTTCACGGTATTTCAAATTCTGGATTTAACAGGAAGTCTCTTAATAAGTCTTTCAGTCATTCTAACTTAATAGTTATACTATCAACAAGGTAATCAAAGAAAATACTAGTATATCACTCCCTCCAGGTTGGAGAAACAGTAAACAGAAATGCTCATGGTAAACAGACAAGAATGTGGTACTATGTTCCCATTATACAACACAAGGGAGATTTAAGAACTCCAATGAATGTCAAGGTATGTTCGCTTGAACAGTAATTTTACTAATCAAGAAAATGTGACCCGGGCACGGTGGCACACTCCTATAACCCCAGTGGCTCAGGAGGCTGAGGCAGGAGGATTGCAAATTCAAAGCCAGTCTCAACAATAGCAAGGCACTAAGCAACTCGGTGAGACCCTACCTCTAAATAAAAGCACAAAATAGGGCTGGAGATGTGGCTCAGTGGTTGAGTGCCCCTGAGTTCAATCCCTGGTAGCCAAATAAAATAAAATAAAATAAAAAGGTAAAGGAAGAAACTTTCTAAGTCAACACTACAAGCACACCACCATAAAACACACTATTCTAGTGGTGGTACACACCTGTAATCCCAGTGCTTGGGAGACTGAGGCAGGTGGATGGTGAGTTAAAAGCCAGCCTTAGCAAAGTAAGGCCCTAAGCAACTCAGCAAGACTCTGTCTCTAAATAAAATATAAAATGGCTGGAGCTGGGGGCTGGAGTGTGGCTTGGAGGTGAAGCACTTGCCTAGCATGCGTGGGGCACTGGGTTTGATCCTCAGTACCACATAAATATAAATAAATAAAGGTATTGTGTCAACCCATAACTAGAGGAATAGATGTTTAAAAAAAGGGGGGGGGCAGGGGCTGGGGATATGGCTTAGTGGTTAGGCTCCCCTAGGTTCAATCCTTGGTACCAAAAGTCAAACAAACAAGAAAAAAAAAAACACATTACAGGGCAGTGGGAGAGAAAAAAAATCAAACAATATTTTATCCATGTGCCTCTAGACTGTCAACATGTTACTAAGAGGCTGAAAAGTCACTCGTGACCAAAGCAATAATGGAAAAATATAAGCAAAAGAGCAACCATAATACTATATGCCCTAAAATGGTCTGAAAAGAGACCAAGGAATTAGAGTAGGAAATGGGATGGGGGAGAAAGGATACTTCTCACAATCTTATAAACCAGTTTGATTTTTCTTTTTTTTTTTTTTTTTCAATAAGTACATATTACTGAGTTTTCACTTTTTGTTTTACTTTTAAAACATGCATACTGTTTTGCCACTGATTTTATCCACTATTTGGACTATAACAGAGTTAGAAGCAGAGCATGCCCACTGTTATAACATCCAGCAAATCCTCATCTACTTATTAGTTCTCAAATACACCTTACATGTTAATGAATAATAATATACACTGAAATCCCAAATTTCTTTCCAGAACTTCCCATTTACATACTTACCTGCCTTCTAATCAGCTTTTAGATCCCATGGGCACTGGAAACTCAACAAATCTAAAGCTAACTTCTTATCTCACCATCCTAACCCTTCCCTCAATTAAAATCTGATCCTCCCCTTGAGTTACCTGTTTTGGTCAAGAGCATCACCATGCAATCTGCCCAGCAGCCCAAGTTTGGAATCAATCCTCTTCAACTCTACTTCATTTTCTACTTCCACTCAGAACTAGTAATGAACTTTTGTGCCTTTGTTCAAGATCATCTTGTTTGGCACCAGGGAATTGTTTGTTGTTGTCTTATTTCATTTGGCACCAGGGAATTGTTTGTTGTTGTCTTACACCCCCCCCCATCCCCCAGCGCTTGCGCTCAAGATTGAACCCAGGGGCACTTTACCACTGAGCTACATCCCGGGTCCTTTTCTTCTTCTTCTTCTTCTTTAGTTGTAGTTGCATAGAATACCTTTATTTATATGTGGTTCTGAGGATCAAACCCAGGGCCTCACATGCGCTAGGCAAGCACTCTACCACTGAACCATAGCCCCAGCCCCATTCCAGGTCCTTTTTTAAAAAATTGAGAAAGGGTCTTGCTAAATTGCAGAGGCTGGCCTTGAACTTGGAATTCTCCTGTCTAAGCCTCCCAAGAGACTTTGATTACAGGTGTATGCCGCTACTTCAGGCTCTGGCACCAGGGAATTTGGAGGAGACTGAAAATGTATGTCTTGAGGCAAGTATAAAATACAATATACACACAAAATTCATGGGAGTCACAAGTAACGGATTGAGATCCTGTCTCAAAACATTAAGCTGGGCATGGTGGCACACGCCTGTAATCCTAGCAGCTCAGGAGGCTGAGACAGGAGAATCAGGAATTCAAAGCCAGCCTCAGCAATAGCCAGGTGAGGCACTAAGCAACTCAGTGAGATCCTGTCTCTAAATAAAATACAAAATAGGGCTGGGGATGTGGCTCAGTGGCCAATGCCCCTGAGTTCAATCCCCAGTACCAAATAAACAAACAAATAAATAAATAAAACATTAAACAACAACAAAATGACTGGAGATTTGGCTCAGAGGTTAAGTGTCCCTGGGTTCAATCGCTGGTATCCCCCCAAATTAAAGACTGAGTATTTAGTTCAGTGGTAGAGTGCCACTAGGCTCAATCATCAATACTG